AAACTCAAATCCCAAAGTTCTTAAGTTTGGCTTGGAAACAAATTGACCAAGGTATATGGTTTAAAAGGTTCTGGAGTAAGAGAACCTATTGAATTTACTGAGTGAATAAGCTAACCTGAAACCTATTCAATGAGCTTGCTTCTTGTGACAACTCTATTATTCATTGTAGAAGCTTTTTATCTAACATAGTAATAGATTAATGTAGTGTATACATGATATTAGTGGGTGTTAGCATTTATTCTGTATATTTAACATTTTGTACTACTCTGTAATGTTGGCATTTATTCTTTCAATCCTTGGTCTATCTGTCTTCCATTAAAGGAATTCATACAAGAGATGTGAAGCTGAAACTTACAGTTTGCTAACTCACAACTGCAATAACTTCAGCAAAGAGGTTGGCCAACTTTTAGTGGGTGTTACCATCCCTGACTACATATTGCAACTTGCTAATGAAGTCATGAGTAGCCTAATGGGTGCTATAAGTAACATTTTAACCAATATACATTTTTCAATAAGATTGGATATTTCCTCTTTGTATGAGAATTTTGGAATTTATGTTTTCTTTGAAAGACATTATATTGGTGTTCCTCTCCTACTTGAATTCACTAACCAACCTAATTTTGAATAAAAAAAACCAGCAAATGGATCCAATTATGAACATAGCAACAATGATAATAACCATGTATTAGATGGGCTATTTGTGAATCCCATTTGATGATGTGTTTCACCCCTAAAAACCTTTATTTTTTGTTCTCATCTAATTTTTTCAAGGTTTAGCTTAATGGAAGAAGCAAGAATGTCTCTATGAGTTTTATCCAAGTAAAACTAAGATGCCAAGAGGATCTACCAAGAAACGTTCTTAGTAATCTCCTCTTCACTAAAAGCAGGAAACAACTCCAAAATCAGACTCCCACAATCCCTCTAAGGATCAAACTTTTATACCACTATCAATTGGTTACCATTATCACAAATAAAATCTAGCACAAGTACATCATCTTTGGATAAAACAATACCCAAAGAAATGAAACCCTGAGACTAAGGACATTGTGCAAAATCAAATTCTCTATAGCAAACACCATGCTTTTTCACATTGCAAAAAGTCTATACATAGTGAAAACAAAATTTAAAAAAAAGGCAAAAAACAAAATTACTTTGTAAAGGAAAAGAAAACATACCTGAACACAGAGACAAAATAACATCGCTACATATTTATAAGAATGCATCTTTATAGTCATTAATTGTCTGTAGCAACCAAATGACAAATTTTCAAAATGTTATTGAGCATAGCACGACAACTGTAAAATAAAACCTACAGAAATCAAAATCAAATTGAAACAACACATAAGTAACTAGCTGTAAACATGCAAAATATGATTATTAGATAATAAGAAAATTTACGAATCAGAGATTCAGAGAGTTGAGAGAGGACAAGTTAGGAATTATAGACAAAGAATGTAAGCTTTTAAGTAAAGAGAAGGAAAATGCAAATCTCATCTCATCAAGCAATAGAAGTCAAACTAATTGGAGATCCACTTGTCTTGGTGTGGCTCTAGTTTGCCAAAAAGACAAACGGTCAACGTACTCGAACAGGGGATTCGCGCATGACCTCTAATGGCAAGTTCGATGACCCCTGAAAAAAAAACGTTGTGGAATGCGATGGTCATTGTCGAATACAAAATGAAATCGCAAAAGTTAAAGGAATTCAAGAGTACCTTCACCGTGAATGGGCACCATTGAATTTGGAACACAACGAGTGTCAAGAGAAATTGCCTTCCAGAAGAATGCCGAGGAGGTAGTCCGTGAATGGATGCCATTGAATTTGGAACACAACAAGTGTCGAGAGAAATTACCTTTCAAAAGAACACCGATGAGGTAGCCATGGATGAGAGCCGAAGAAGACAACTCACAAGGAAGAGATTTCACGTGAAGAAAAACTTCACGTGCGGATACCTTATCCTGCTGGAAGAGATTTTTGCACGAGAAGAAAAAATCCACGTGCCGATACCTTATCCTGCATGAAGGAAAGGCCACGTCGCCTTGACGAAGGCCCTTCCCGCCTTAGTATATATAATAGATGTATATGTGCCTGTATCTGTATACATATATATGTATATAGATTAATATTTTAAAAAAAATGGTTAAATATTTAACAGAATTATAAATTTTAACTATTTTTTTTAGTTTTTGAAATAAAATAAAAAACAAAAACAAAACGATTAATATCACAAAAAAAATCACCAGAGGTGGAGATCTCTGTAGAGACAAAGATAGGAATAACCTTATCCCTGCCAATAAGGACGGGGATAAGGATTTTCATGGAGAGAAAGGATGGAGAGTGGCTCCGTCCACTCCATAGGAGCAGAAGTGCCCTAAGGTCTTATCATTCGAGAAGTTCTTGCCCAAGGTTTTTAAAACCGGATCAGACAGGGAATCATTTTGGGTCTGATTCCTGTGTCAATAAAAAAACAAAAAACAGCCAAAAAAACATTGTCTGGGTTGACAGTTGGATTGCCTGAATCAACGGTTTGTTGATTAAATCAACGATTTTTGGGAGTAAAATGGAACTAGTCAGATGACAGGTTCCTGATTTTTCCGGTTCAACCGTTCGGTCTGGTCCGGTTTTGAAAATACTGTTCTTGCCAGCCATGCCAGAAGCCAATACAGAAGCATTGGTGGGGTGTCATTCACAGTGGCTGATGATTTGTCAGTGAGAGTGAGAAAAGCCAAGTGGAGTGACTCAAAAATCAGAATCTATTGCATCCCAGTCCCCAGACCACATCATCTAAACTATTGACATCATGCGATTTGAATCATCTGTAACACATTTTGCCAATCCACAACGTCAAGAATCAAGGATTACCTTGACTACATTCCTCAGAGGCCATTGATTGATCTTGTTTATTACCTACATACAAAATTTTGAGCTAGAAGAGATCTCCTAAATAGAATTATTTGGGTGGTATGGGCAACACTCTCCTGATCACCTCCTCTCCACCAACCCTTTGTGAAACAATATTAAATATTTATTCTGAGAAAATTACCAAAAAGGTATTATTTTATTCTTTAATTATATCACCGATGGTGTAGGAAATTCTTTGCATATTATTTTCTTTGTTTCTTCAATTATGCCTATTGGGTCATAAATCTAGCACAAATACCATTTTTGTGTTACTTCAATATTTTGTCAATTAAGAAAAAAAATTATATATAAAACAGGTTGGACTATGATGCTAGAAAGACATGATATAAGCAAAACTTACAGCCAATCAATTTGATTCATTATCATAAAAGTGGTAACCAATCACATGACATTTCATCAAAACTAACAGGATTGTGATTCATCAAACCCTTTCCAGTATCATGTCTTTCTGGCATCATAGATTTACCTTATAAAAATGTTTTTTAACATTCTTTCTCCCTCTTGTCACGAATGAAACTTAGCATTTTGAATCATGTTATCCAAAGTCCGAATGGATTAATGGTTAAATAAAAAATAAAAATAAAGGAGAAAACATATCATGGCTTTGTAGAAAAGTAAAAGAACAAAGGAAAAATGAAGAAAAAAAACATTTTTTATTGCTGAAGTTTTCCGAAGATATAATAGCAGTCAATATAAAGGTTATTGGATGTCTCAAACGCCATGTAAGAAGACCTAGTTGGCACAAGCTGTTGTAGAAAAAGTTTTGCAAAGATTTTGTTCCACATTCCCTAACTATATGTGAGATTTTATAAGTTGTCCTACAACACCCCAAATATATATTATTTTCACTTAGGTTCCGTTTGGGAAGAATGCAAACACAAGCACGGGCCATGAAAAATGACAGCATATGTATTTACAATGAACAAATTTGGTATTGCACTCTTCCCGGACAGAGCCTTAAGTACATTTTGCATCATTAAAAATATTTTCCATGGATCGAGCTATGAACTGTGTTAAGATCAAACAAGCATATTGTCCAAAGAAAATTAGAAAATACAGTTAAAAGTAAAATGAGCACCAGGAACATAATCAGAGGATACATACATTACAGGAATCACGGTTCATCAGAGGAGAGGTAACAAGAACCAAGGTTCTAAATATCGACACGGGTGTAATGTGTTATTTTTTTTTTCAAAACTGCTTCAGAGGGATCAATTTAAGGCCCGGTTACCCTCTGAACTAGTGACTGATTCGATACAACTCCTGTAAGAGCATATTGGGAAACCAATACTTTGAAGTTTGACAAGAACTGAAGTGGCTAGCTACTTCGTTCACTAAACATAGGCATATATAGATTAGAAGAGAAATCTCTTGTTAAGAAAAAAGACAATATAATGCGTGATTATAAAGACAACAATTTTCTTTATGCTTTCAATGTAAACTCAAAAGGCTCTGGATGATAAATAAGAAATTCCATATTAGTATAAGCTCAAAATCAAAATAATTAAAATTTTACTACTAAAAGAGGATATCATATTAGAAGAGGGAAACCCCTAATGCTCTTGTTTGTCACTTTGTCCTTGTCCCCATCATCTCTTTGCTGTCGCTATTCTTTCGACTTAGCATGGTATATGAGTAGGGGGGTGAAGTCAACCTAAGTCCCAAGGTTTAGAATATTGATACGGGTCTTTTAGGTTATTGGCACGGGGCGTGGTGGGTGGAATGGCCGGCAATCCACTCAATTCATCCACTCCTACAGCATTGGCTGATGTGCTCACAATATCAGTCCATATTGGACAATAAGCCCCACCACTATACCATGGTTTGGGCTTCAAATTAACAAGAACTATATTAGTTTTCAATCATTGAAAGACGATGTGCGATCCCTAGGATTAATCGCCAATAGCATAGTCAAACTGTAGGTAAAATTTTCCTGCTGGTTGTAGCGGAAACTTGGATCCCGCAATAAAGCTCGCATAGCGATCACAAATACGCTCTTACAACGCCCGCTTCTGTAAGACTGGATGCTGGAGTTTGTAATTTCTCAGAGAGAGGGAGGGAGATGCATACAAGTTGTTTTATGAATCAAACACAGATATTCATTCACAATCTTATTGTGTTATTCAAATTCCAATCGATAAAAAAAGTTACAATGAAGGTGAGGACAAACACAATCCCAGTCATATTCCCTCCACTCCCTCACTCCCCATCTCCCAAAAAAATTTATGAGCACACTAAAAATCAACACCAACACCAAAAACATACAAAACATGGAAGCTACATTTGCTGCTCTCTCCTCGGGCCAGGAAATAAGAAAGAGAAAAAAATACAAAAGAATAAACTGGCATAACTATACCTAAAACGACAACAAACCCTGCTGTGTTTTATGACTGCAGCGAGAAAACTATACGGCCAACTCTCTCTTGCAGAATATGTACATTGATACTATAAATTAATAAATGATAAATACTCTTGTTTCTTTCCCATCTCATTTTCTTCCTAGAATAAATTACAACAAGCAAGAGTTATCAGTTACTCTGATGTGAGTTGCTATTTGTTGGACCACTGGAATTCAATTTCAAGATTCCGTGAAGGCCCACTTTTACTCTCAGGCAGCAGAGTATATTCTCCAGCCACCGCCCCTAGCATCACAACCCGGTCAATTTGGATTGTTACTTTACCAAATGAGCTCTGCATTTGAATTACAACAATGTGGTAAGCCTCCAGAACAAGATGCAAGAAAACCTATCATTTTGTTAATTATTTTCTCTACAGATGATCCACTTCAAAAAAAATATATATATATAGCAACTTTGGTCAAAGAAAAGAGGTTATTTACCTTTCCAAATTTGCTCTTATTTTTGCAGGAGATGTGAAGTTTTTGGCCTTTAGGAGGGCTCTCGAATGCCCATGCAAAGCCCTCATCCCACTCAGGAGTAGGACCAGTTGATACAACCTGAATAACAAATGAACATACTAAGTTTGCAAGTTTTATCTATTACAGACATTAATGTAGTGTTATAAAATTTTAGCTGCTTAAAATAAAAAATAAAGATTTGAAACTGAGGTTTGAACTCTCAAGAGGAAAAAAAAAGAAATTCCTACTTCAGCTAACGAACTCCCATGAGATATCGCAAGGTTCAATATTGCAGCACATAGTACCTTGACACTTCATCAAGCACTTTAAGACCCAAAACTAAGAATGCAAGAATGGTCATTGAATTGGTAGGTCACATGCTTTGCCACCTTGATGAGGCATTATGGGTGACACAAAAGTTGCTCAAGTGCATTTTTATTTCATTAAAATAAATTATAAAAGTGCCATGTGCAAAACAATGCTGCACATCCACCATATTATCAAGATAACCACTAATCAGGTGAACCTATGCCTGCCCATAGATGGGTGTTTTGCAATGTGAACTCAAGCATTGCAGTTTCAGCAACCTAGTGTTTGAGAATTTTCTGTATGAAAATTTTTATGCTTTTGATGGGAGCATGGGGGAACGCAATAAAACTTCAAGCTCCATATAGAAAATGCATGTGACAAAATACTAGAAGCCAGTAAATGACAGAATAATCACTTAATTGCCTTCAGTCAAGATGTCATATGCATGAATGAGTACTAATGTTTAGTTGTTTCACAACATAATATCTTGCTATTATGACTACTAAATCCATTTCATATCCATAAAGAAATGGAAACAGTAATAAAAACCTAATGTATACCAAAAAATCTAAGACCCATTTCATATCTAAGACCACTAAATCCATTTTATACAGTGGTCCTCCCAAATGAAGAATCCTTCCTCCCCTGGATAGGGGCTACTAGAATATTATTATCGTGGTAGAAAGGCAACAGAGAGTGGGGGAAGGCAGCGCCAGCCACTTCATTTATATCAACGGTGCAAAATAAGGAGGAAAATGACTGAAGTTCCCTTGCAGCACTAGGTTACAATATAAACTATTGACAGTTACATTGGGTCTAGCCACCACACTTTGTTTCTTACTTCTCCACGTGACTAGGGGTGGCACTTTTTCAACCCAACCCGCTAACCCGCCCGACCCAGCCATTAATTGGTGGTTTGAGTTGTATCCATTTAGTCCCGGGTCTGGTGGGTTGGGCAACCCAACAAGGGAGAGGCTTAATGGTTTGGGTGGGTTGGGTCATGGTTATCCAACGGATAACCCATTAGTCTCTTCATATTTCCATAGCACTCTCTTTATCGGTGGTCTATCCTCATTCATCTTTTCTAGTAGACAAATACCAACGTTTTAAACGACCCGGAAATGGGACCATTTTGCCAACGGTTTCTGGGTCGACGGTCCGATCGTTCAATTCGAACAGACGGCCCGTTCTGACAAACAAATTAAAAATAAAAAAACGGTCAAAATCGTTGAATGGGCTGACGGTTCGATCGCCCAGGCCAACGGGTTGTTGACTTTTTCAACAGCTTTTGGCCAAAAACTGAACGGTTCCCGGGCCGAACGGTTCGACCGTCCGAGTCAACAGTGGTTCGAAAACCTTGGGAAAAAAGAAATCATCAATGTTTTTGAACCGCCGTTGACCCGGACGGTCGGACCGTTTGGCCCGGGAACTATCCAGGCAAGCGGTTCCATTTTACCCCAAACCCGGTTTTTGGCCAAAAACCATTGAAAAAGTCAACAACCTGTTGACCCGGGCAGTCGAACCGTCGACCTGTTCAATGGTTTTTTACCATTTTTATTTTTAATTTGTTTGTCAAAACGGGTCGTCCGTTTGAACCGAACAGTCGGACTGTCGACCCGGAAACCGGTGGCCATAATGGTTCATTTCTAGGTCGTTTTTTAAAACGTTGTTTTCTCCTATGATTTATAATTGTAAATGGTGATCAAATCGATTAAGGAAACAACATCAATAGCTCTCTCGAAGCAGTAAGAAAGCCCTATCTTTTTTCCGATTCATCTGTTTCATCATTCACTTCTTAGTAGATGCTCAACAAACCAAAAATGATGAGGTGCATGAGCTCCCACTCGGGCCACTCCAACGTCATTGCCAATTGCAATGAAATACTCAATGTGAGTCCCTTCACCTATATAAATCTGGTTTTTGCATATTCCAGTTTTTGTTTTTTGTGTGGTTTTTTTTTTATTTTTCTATAATTTCTCCTTTCTTCATTTTTTTTTCTGTTTCTATAATTTTTGTTATATTATTTTACAATTTTGTTATTTTTATGTAATTTATGCTCTCTTTCTTTTGTAATTTCTAATAGTTTTCTACAGTTTTTGTGTTGTAATTTCACAGTAATACTGTTTTTCCAAGGTTTTTAAACCGTTGTTGACCCAGACAGTCGGACCATTCGGCCCGGGAACCATCCAGGCAAGCGGTTCCGTTTTACCCCAAACTCGGTTTTTGGCAAAAAATTGTTGAAAAAGTCAATAGCCTGTTGACTCGGGCATTCAAACCGTCGACCTGTCAACCCGTTCAACGGTTTTTGACCATTTATTTATTTTTTTTTAATTTGTTCGTCAGAACGGGCCATCCGTTCGAACCGGATGATCGGACCATCGACTTGGAAACCGGTGGCTAGAACGGTTCCATTTCTGGGTCATTTTTTAAAACGTTGGTTTTTTCACATGTATATAAAGGACAAAATGAAAGTTGCATTTTCTATTTTTTTAACTTTTTATGTAATTTCTATTAATTTTATGCATTTTTTTAGTTTTTGTTTAATTTCTATTTTATTTCCTGTAATTTCTATTATTTTTGTGTAATTTTCATTATTTCATCTAAATGGATTGGGTTCAAGTGTGTTTGGGTTGAACCCAACCCATTTAATTCTATCTAATTGGGTCATTAATGAGTTGGCGGGTTAGATGGGTTGGGTTGAAACTCAACCCAAACCGAACCCAACCTAACCCGCCCAATTGCCATCTCTACACAATTTCCTCTCACAAAAGTACAGTATCTATTGGTGGATTTTTTGTCATTTACTGACCCGACCTAGTCAGCATCCATATACACTTGAACCTTCAAATTCCCATGCTTTTGGAATAACAAACCAGCTCTTGGGAACTTTTGGAGATACCTTAGAATCCACTTGGCAGCCTCCAAATGAGTGGTCCTAGGGGCACGCATGAACTGACTAAGAACACCCATTGCATAAGTAATGTCAGGTCTAGTCATAAACAACCAAATATGTCTTTCTACAAGCCTTTGGAACTGATTTACATCTTTTATGGTTTCCCCATGACAGTCACCCAACTTGTGATTCGGATCGATGGGAAAATAAGCTAGCTTCACTCCTAGCTTGTCTGTTTCTTGTAATAGATCTAGGATGTATTTTCTTTGTGAAATAAAAATCCCTTTTTATGAATGGGCAGCTTCAACTCCAAGGAAATACCACAAGGGGCCTACGTCTTTCACTTCAAACTAAGTGGATAAGAACTCCTTCAACTTCTGAATTTCAGTAATCCAATCAACAATAATTACTATGTCATCAACATACACTATCAGGGTTGCAATCTTACCTTCCTCCCTCTTCACAAACAATGTATGGTCAAACTGACACTACTTAAAGCATATCTTTTGCACAACCAAATGGAACATGCTGAACCAAGCTCTTGGCAAGGTTCAAATTTTCAATACGATACACCTTGTGTTAGGTGTACTGTATCATATCTTTTGAAGGTTGATACACCTGTTTTAAGGGGTTTTAAGAGAATCTTTTATTTTATAATAAAATATCATAAAAATGAGGTTCTCTGAAATTTTGAAAAAGAAAAACTAAAAAACAAAAAATAAGAAGGTGCAGTGTTCAAAGTATCGATACGCCCCTTTCAACATATGAGGATGTATTGATATTTTGAACCTTGGCTCTTGGTGATTATTTTAAATTGTACAAGGATCTCTTCAGCTTGCACAAATTTTGCTCACTGTCTTTTGCATAAAAACTGGGGGGTTGAACCATGTACATCTTCTTCTAGATCCTCATTCAAGAAGGCATTCTTGATATTCTTGATATCCAATTGGTGAAGGTCCCAATCAAGGTTAGTTTTTAATGAGAGGAGAACTCTAATAGAGTTCATCTTGGCTACCAGAGCAAATGTCTCTACATAATCCACTCCATACACATGTATTTGCCACCAACCCTATGTTACACCCACTTACATCATATTGGTTCTTTTCCTTCAAGAAGATCCACCAACTCCTATGTACCTTTTTCTTTTGTAAGGTGTTGATTTCTTCATTCATTGCAATTATCCATTTTGATACCAACAAAGGTTGCATTTGGCATTCCTTATTTTAAGGACTTATCTCCTTTTTACAGTTAAAAACTCAATGTTCATAGGGGCATTTTAATTGCAAAAAGGAGATAAACCCTTAAAATAAGGAGTGCCAAATGCAGCCAAAGCCTCTGTTACATTCTTAGAAATAGGAACACTGTCAATGGAAGAAAGAAAGCCACAAAAAGAGGGTGAGATATTCTCAAAGGATACATAATGGGAATGGGGTGCTTAATGGTACAAGATCCAACATCCTTTATTTTAGCAATAGGGATGTCTAGATCATTAACAACAAAAGTATCTATATTTATGGAAATAAGGGTACCTGGCTAAGAAGGATTCTCCATGGCTCTTGAACTCTGTTGGCCCTTAGGACGATGAAGGAAACATAGAATAGAGGAGGATGAAGAATAGGAGGAAGCTGAACTTCAAATGGCGTTGATCATGTCTTCCCAAGAATTATAACTAGAAGAACGTTCTTGATTTACAGTAGAGCTAGAGGTTTGAGTCTCCTGGGAAGCCATGCTTTCTTAGTTGTTCTTCTTCTAACCATGTTGACCCGACTTCTTATTCTGATATGATGTTGGTTTCTTACTTAACTCTTAAGCCCACTTTGGCTTCCCATGGAGATCCCATCAGGTCTCACAAGTGTGCCTAGACCGCTGACAATAAGTGCACCAAAGTTTATCCTTGTGATCAACTTTTTTTTTGGACATCACCCTTCTTAAAAGAATTTGTACTCCCCCTGGTTGTCAAAGCAACTGGTTCTCCTTCTGAACTATTCATCACATTTTTTCTACTCTTCAAATTGTACTAAGGCATAGACCTCTTGGACTGAAGGGAGATCCTAACTTCCCAAAATTTGCACCCTGATAGAATATAGATTCATACATGGGATTCAACTCCAAGATGAAACTCCCGAGATTTATAAGCTTTTGCATCCTCATCGCATTTCCAATCCACACTCTAATAATGATCCAACTCCTTCTAGATGGAATTCAAACTTGAGCAATACACTGAAAGGCTTCTCTCCCCTTGTTTACAAGTGGAGGATTCAGCTTGCAACCGCTAGATCTTTGCATAGTGCAGCTACTTAGAATAGGTGGATTTCGCCTGCTCCCAAATTTTATAAGTTGTACCATCCCACGTGAAGTTCCTTCTCACCAGTGGGAAACATAGATACAAGAAGCCATGGCATGGCAACACCATACTATTTTCTTGGTCCCATTTGTCATGTCCAGCACTTCCAGATTTCAGCTCCTTCACCTTACCGTTAATATAGCCTATCTTCCCCCTTGTAGTGATATAGAGTTTAATTCCCTTAGACCACTTTAGATAAATAAGTCCATCTAATGGAATTATAGTGATAGGGAAATTCATATCTAGTTCTCCACTCAGTCCATTTTGATTAGAAGAAACACCAGAAGTAGCAGAATCTTCAGAAGACATGGTAAATTTCACTATTCAGTCATAGGGAATACGTTGAACACCAGCCAGCACTATAAGGATCAAGTACTACAGTACACAGACACTGTTCTACAGTTTGAAACTCACTCCTGAACCCAAAAACAACAATCTGGAGTCTTCTGAAGCAATTCTAGCACCAAACCAGGTTGTTTTTCGAGTATAACCAGATCTGAAATTCATAAAACAGCCCTACTCTATGCCACTCAATCTCCACAATCACAAAAGATATATATACTACTGCTGTTACAGCAGAGACAGGTCATACTAGACCTACAAACACCATGTACCTGGTCACAAAGGATCACACTATCCACATACAGGGGTTAGAAGACTGTTAAACTCTTTCACAGCATCCTGCTGCCACAATCTTAGGGGTTTTCCTTGGTACACGACCAAGATCAAGAATAAAAAAGAAACAGAAAAAACTTCTCCCAGGCTAATCAAAGAAACTTCTTTTCTCAAGTCTCAATCAATCTGTCTTCAGACCCAAAACATTTGCTCTGATACCATATAATCGTGGTAGAAAGGCAATAGAGAGTGAGGGAAGAGAGGAGAGAAGAGAAGAGGTTTGATTGAGAGTCAAAAAGTGAATAGGTCGTCACCAACATGGGCACAAAAAGTTTGATTAGTCCAGATGTCCAAAATAGTTTTTTGGAGAGAAAGCTACAGAAACCAACAGGACTAGAAAGTCTTTACTCTTAACATCAACTTATTGGTGTACCGAAGTGGGCACCTACACTTAATGGGACAACTCTGGACATTTTGCATTCACAACAAAAGATCAACAGCAAGCCAGGACAGACTTCTTTCTGCACCATCTCCTCGGGGCAACAAACAAATATACATTGGCAGTCTTTCAACAAGATTATCTACTGCAGTTCTTGAATATATAGAAGCTATACATAAAAATTACCCATGCTTTGAGGATGCCAATTGCAACATGACAATTTAGAATTTTGAGCATCCATTTTAGTCAATAATGGTCCACTTAGCCTAGAACTTTGGTTAGCAGAAGGAACTTAAAGATAAAAATGATAGAAATGAATAGGGGTTTCATGCATCATACCTTGGTTTGCCTAGGTGGTGTATTTCCAAGTGTGAGCTTGCAGTAGACACTTGGGTTTCCCACTGATTGCTTCAAATTGTTGCCACGCTTGATAATTACCATTAATGTGCCTGGCAAACACTGCAATAGAAGTTCTGCCTTCTCCTGAAATCGAGGAGGGCCAGACTGGATCAAATATTGCAGCAAGGGAATTGCCTCAGCAGCAGCAACTGATTGGGCTTTGGAGACTTCAGCTGGGCATGCCGACCAAGCTTGCCTAAGGAGGAAAAGTGAGTCTAAGGCTGCTTCCTGAGTTGCCTCTGAGCTAGTCTTGAGTGATGTCACCAGATGTGGAATACAGAGTGTAGCAGGTTCAGTGGCTCTCAAACGTGGGAAGTTGCTAAAAAGTGCATTTAGAGCTTTGAGATATTCCTCATTTACACTTCCAGTGGCCCATAAATCCTTCTCAATAGCAGCTGAAAGACGGCAAATGAACCAATTGGACCCAGGAAGTTAATTGCATGCATGAAAGAGCACTTTTAACGAAAAGAATATGAAAATCATGTTATACAAAAGCAGTATTGCAGCAAAAACAGCACAAACATATATAAAAACCAAGTGATACTTCTGCCCATCAGTGAAAACTTCAAATAATTCACATATCTGATGATGGTTAGGATAAACTGGCTCCTTGAGAGTCCTGAATCTTTGATGAAAAGACAATCAGAAAATCCTACAATTTGCTAACACATCGTCCAAACACCACTTCAGCACCCAAAGTGGACACCATGTGATGTTGACTTTCCTAGTGTGTCTGATGCAGCATGGTATCCAAGATTGGAGTATTTTCATTGGTATAGGCTTCCAATTGGAGCTTCAATGGATTTTTCCTCACAATGGCAACAATGAGAAAGAGAAGAAGAAGAAGAAAGAAAAACAACAAAATAAAGGAAAGCATGGTGGATATTTGGCTAGTCTGACTACCCCATTCCAACTTTTGGAGCCTCACCAAATTTAGGGAAAGACATGATGGCATCTCATCGCCACACTCAAGAGATTTTTCTCCTCCCAAAAGTAAACAAGTTGAAGGCTCAAAACTTGAAAGTGCCAGCTGGGTCTAAAGATGCAACTTGAGCAGGCTCAGGTTGAACATTTCTCAAAATTTGAAAGGGTCTGTCCCAAGGACCTGGGCTTGATGCAGTAGAAATTCTTCAGATTGGGTATCCAATTTGCATCCCTAGCTGGCTTGGTGGTGAAGTCTCCTTGTGGTTGTAGCAGAGACCTGGGATTGCTTCCTGCCTTCATCACGGTTTGAGGTAGAGTTTGGAGGATGGACCACTCCCTCGTGTAGTAAATTTGGATAAAAAAGGTTACAGACTCAAAACTTTTTCATTCAAGAGTAAAGTGATAAGCACATAGCTTTATTTAGATTTAGTTAAAGGCTAGGGAAACCCTACCTAACACAAATAAGAAATGGCTCACTGAGGTGGGGTTCTCACATGGATCACAAGTTATTAAGTATGGCTGCATATCAAAACTAGGTCACATGTCATACATGGATAGGGGGCTATCATCGATGGGCATGGAAATTAGACCTTATTTTTGAACTTGCACTTAAAACAATCATGTACTTGAAACCTATGATAACAAGGGTGCTCAGGCATGGGTTTACAGCTGAAAGAAGGTAACACCTATCCAAGCTGCATAGTGTAACAATTTCTGGATCAGTTTCTCTTAAGTTCATTCTGTGCTTAGGTTGATTACATGCATAGGGGTATTCACTTTAGGGTCTTCAAGTCCCAAATTGAGTTTTATGATTGTTAGAATGCTCGAGTCAGGGGTATTTTGGTCATTCTGGTGTATCTTMTTGAAAGTGAAAGGTCTATTGTATCTGAGTTTAAGTTATGTGTCCCATCTTCTATGAGGGACAAAATTGTCTTCCTTGTAACTCAAGTTTTATGAATAAA